TTCTCCTTCCTTTTCACTTCTTCCAACTCAAACTTTGAGGTTCCATGACTGTTTATATAATCAGACACTTTGTTTCGGAAACAGCACAACTAATGTTTTTGTGAGGAAATGCCCTGCAAATGCTCAAAACCTCAAAATGATTTTCAAACCTCTATTTTCTTCTTCCTTTCTTTTTTTAATGGAAAGCACAATTAAAGAGATTTTAGGGGAGGGTATGGCATGCAACACCCTCAGCCACTTTTCAGAGTTTTTTTTTTTTTCCGAAGGGTGTGATTACAGCTGTTTAAACTTAAAATTATTTACATTTAGCAAAATCTTGATTTTAAAAAGTCATATGATTATATATAAACTAAAACATGGCAAGGAATCAAAAGTTGACATTTTTCATGGACATATTTTGCCCATTGGCTGTGGCTTCTGAAGGGTGCTTATCAGGGCCTTGGGTTGGTGGGAAATGATAAACGAAGACTGAAGAATGAGAATTTCGCCTAGCGAGTCATATTGGGTTGCAGCTGAATTTGAAAACAGCAGGTAGTCATCAGAAGGGTTTATATGAAATCTAATGGATCAGAGAGAGAAAGCAAGGGGAAATTATTTCTTTTCATACAGGGCCAGTTTCTCATCTGATGTAAGTCTTGGAGAATTAGCCAACATATGGAAATTATCCCCATGTGGTCATATGGGATAGCAGTATGAGGAATTGTTAAAAGAACAGGAATATTTAGCTTTGTAAAGAGAAGATCTGGGTGGGACAGATAGCTCTTTTCAAATATTTGGAAGGTCAGCATGTGGAGGAGGGAGTATTCTGTGTTGCTCCCGTGGGCCAAGCAGAGTCAATGGGTAGACCTTGGAGAGACAGGCTGTGGTTTAATATTCTCTAGTCTCCCACTAGGGCAGCAGGGCATGGCTGTTTCCTCATGGCAATATGGGCTCCTGTGAGAGGACAGGAAGCTGTTTCTGGAGCCATTACCTAGGAACTGAGATGGGAACTGAGGAGACTGGCCCAGCTCTGGGACTGACAGCAAAGTTTCAGCCTATCAGGCATGGCTTGACTCCAAATGCAATATCCATATTCAGTTCAGGCAAAAAGGTAGCAAGGAGGAATGGAAGGCGCCCAGAATTTGAAGTCAGGAAGGTCTAGGTTGAAACCTTGGCGCTGTCATATATTATCTGTGTAACTTTTGGAGAGTTGCTTGGCTTCTCTGAGTTGCAGTTTCCTGATCTGTACAGTGGGGATAGCATGACCTATGCAGATGCACGACTGTTGTTCATGTCCACTCAGCATTCTCTCTTGCTGCTCCAGTAAAAGCACTTTGATTTCCTCCAACTAAAGTCCTAGTGTAAATCAAGGTGGCCTGCCAGTCCCTAGATCATGAAATTTTGCCTCTGTGGATTTTTAATTCTGAGTGCAGTGACCCAGGGATGAAAATCTTTGAATTATGTCAACTATTACTGAAAAGTGAATATTTAAAATTAATTATTTTTTAAAAGAAAATAAAATGGTTGGAGCTGATTCTCTCTGAGGATGGCACCATGAAGGAATTGCCCATCGTATCTGCTGTCTGGATTTCCTGAGCCACCAGGTTGTTCAGCTTCTTCTTCAGTTCTATGGGCTACCCCATGTTCTTCCAATAGATCATGATTTTGCATAAGTGAGCTGAATCAAGTTCTGTCATTTGCAAAAAGAAAGAACTGTATCTGTACGCTTACCTTAATAGGGTTTCTAAGTCAATTAAATGAGAAAATATATAGATAAAGCCACTGACACTGTCCTAGTGTCTGGTACATAACAGATGTTCAATAAATGGTAGCTGTTATGACTATCAGGTACTGCGGGGCCAAGATGAAGTAGCGAATTCCAGCACATAGGGAAAGCCACATTCTGACGTTAAAGTAGGCACACAGAATCAGGGGTTATCTATTCTCAAACATCAGGCCGCAGCCACTAAAGTTGGCTTGCCCATGATACTTGGTAGGACTCCGCGACTCTGAAAGTGATGAAGCTTAGACTGAAAGCTCCCAATCAGAAGGTAATGGGAAAAGACCCTATACTACACGTTTGAGTTTTATTTGTTGTGAGTGTGTAGGTTGGAGGTCATTTGTTGGTGGTCAAAGAAATCTTCCCACATTTGGGAGGAAGGCTGGACTTGAGGGTCTCCAAGGTCTCCCCCAACTCTATGCAATTCCATGCACTTGACGCTCCAAATGCCACAGATTTGCGTGCAAGGACTGGAGCCTCAGGGACTCCAGTTACCAGGAAACATTAATTTTCCTCCTATCTCCCTGGTAGTGCTTTTGCATGTGCTATTCCCTCTGCTCCCTAACGCCCTTCTTTATTTCAGCCATCAGACTGACTACTCTTGGTCTTTCAAGATTCAGTTTAAGGGTCAGGTCTACTCCAAAACCTTCCATCCCACCTTCATCACTCCCATCCTTGCTCCCCTTCTCAGTGTCCCTGAGCACCTTGTGTTCCAGCAGTCAGCACACTGGGTTTTCTTGGCTGGTTCTTTACCCCATCTCAACTATGAGGTCAAGACAGAGGCCAGATCTTGTTCATTGTGTATCCCCAGTGTTCAGCGTGATGAACACTGAGGCACAGAGTAGGCATTCACAAAAATTCGAAGAAGGAAGGAAGAAAGATAAGGAGGGTGGGGAGGAAGTAGAGAAGGAGGGAGAGAGATGTATTGATGAACACTGAGGCACAGAGTAGGCATTCACAAACATTTGAAGAAGGAAGGAAGAAAGAGAAGGAGGGTGAGAGGAAGTAGAGAAGGAGGGAGAGAGATGTACCAAAGGAAAAAGACCCTATACTGCACATTTGAGTTTTATCTGTTGTGAGTGTGTATGTTGGAGATCATTTGTTGACATTTGTTCTTATAGTTGGAGACCCAATTACGCAAATGTGTTGAAACTGGAAAGATGAAAACTTTCACTAGTCACAACTTACTGGCTTTGTTGCCATGGAGCACAGATGGGACATAGAAAGTGACCCAACCTGAGAGGCTGATGAGAAGACATTGGGGGAATCA